CTCCTCCTCCTCCTCCTCCTTCTCACACCACCTCGGTCCACCAAGCCTTCCATCTCTCCGAGTTCGGTAATGTGTTACCAGAATTGTCTGGGAGGATAGCATCGCTGGCTCGATGCATTGGTGGGTCATTGCGGATCATTGTAAAGGTCAGATATGCATTCAATCACCTCCAAACGATGCTCAGTGGTGTTGGCGCATCTCTCAGGTATTGATCAACGCCGAGAGCTTTATACTTTGTCCTTCGTATATATATATATATATATATATATATATATATATATATATATATGCGCATATATATGTATACATGTGCATATATTGTTTTGCTAATTGAGCTCCATTACTTTTTTATGTTCCTCAAATATTTTGTGCTTTCTTTATCAGAGATGCGTCCAATGATTCTTCCACCTGAACATTACCTTAAACGTGGAGATTCAGAAGCTATTGCTTATGCGTTTTTCCACATCCAACATTGGAAGCGAATTGAAGGTGCTCTTCAGCTGTTGCAGTGCACTTGGAAAGGAGGTTAGATACTCATAAAAACGAGTTCGAGGGCATTCTCACTATCCTGTTTCAGATTTTGCATATCGGTTTTCGATGAGTGGTTATTGTTATCCGTATTCTCCACAATTAGAATCAGCAGATAGAGAGCTCCTTCCCGGTCAAGTTTTAGTTCTATCTTCACAACTTTCCGTTATTTATCGCATCCGTTACATTATGTATTACTTTTCAGTGCACACATTGGGGTTGGGAAGGGGATTCGAAAATGTGCACTACTCTCAGCGTATTTTTTCATCTATTTAAAATTCACTCTAGTACGAATAATTGCTGAAAGCGCCTATGAAAGACGACTGAGAGAAAGGCGAAGCGAAGGAACACGTTAGCCCCCGGAAACGGTAATAACGATGTTCGATCCCCACTTCAGACACTTGCGGTCCGGGTTTTTGAAAATATCTCAGCTTCATTGTAGTTGTATTTCACATCATACTCTGACATGAAAAACAGTAGGCAGTAAATAAAAAGTGATTAAGTTCTATTTATTATTATTACTTGAATATTGTTTAGTGAAAAGCATGCAATATATTTCAGCTTGGCATGAGGTCTCAGTTTTCCCGAAGAAAGAAAGTCCAGTGTGGGCATTGCTACAAACTCTTACTTGTTTAGCTGTATGTGCTATTGCTCTTCTAGTCCATCATTACCCTTCAAGTACTTTAGAAGCTATACACAATGTAAGTTTATCTTCTTTGTGGTGACGATAAGGCGTATTTTGCTCTTGTATTATATGGTGCTGGCTCTTATAGAGTGCTGGTTCATGAATTTCCTAGTAGGGGTATTAATAGTATCAATTTGAAAGACAACAACTTTCGACGTTGTCAATTTCTAAGGGATGCGCCATACCATACAGATGTTTGGATGTGTATGTGGTCTGTGGTTTCAATGTACCATGTCAATGCTATTATCCCTCCAAATAGTTTTGGTACTAATTTACCAACTTTGGAGGAATGGAGGGCTTTGGGAGCTCGTGTGCTTGAATCGACGACAGATCAATTTCACTTGCATGGCTCTTCTTTTCAGTGAGCTAAACGCGCGAAGTAGTGTTGATTTACTTCGAGAAGTTATGAGGTTTCTTTCCATATTACCTAAACTTTTTTCAGGCTTTTTCGGCATTCATTCAAGGAGCGCAACGAATAACTGCGCACTTTTACCACTGGCTCCCTGAGAACATGATAGGTTTACTTGCGTCAAAGCCGGCTCAAATTGTAGTGGAAAATATGTAAATTTTTTATATTGGGAACGTCTCCAACATAAGTTCAATATGGTGATTTTCTTGACATTTGCGTTCTGGGCATGGTCAGTATCTCCAGAATGTCGCAAAAACTTGTTGTTGCGTTAGGGTTGTTTTTCCTGTGTTGAACGTGTTAATATCTATTCAGTTCTTTGAATATATTCGCTAGTCGATATTTTCCCACCCAGATTTTGGAACTAGTAATTTCTACTTCTTCATATTTTGGCTTTTGGTATGATCTCATTTTTTAATCATAACGGTTTTTGTAATGTAAATGGTGATGAAGATTTATCTTTTCTATAGTTTGTTTTAGGAGGCAGTGGTTATGGTGCCGTATGTTTCTCGTCGTTAGAATTTTCAGTTGTTTAAAACGTCGGTCATTTCCAGGTTGTAACTATTTCATTTTTATGGGCCTCCTTATGTCATGATGTCAGTGCTGTCACCGCCAGATGCAAGAAAATTGATCGAAGCCCTTCTTGGCGATTTACGGCAGTTGTCCACGGAAGCAAAAAAGAAGCATAACCATGTAAAAGAGGTTCGGAAATGGGTTTTCTGTTTTTTTTTTGTTGTTGTTTTATCACTTATCTGTTTGTTCGAGTGAGTGTCATATTTCGTCGCGGAAGCACTACAATTTTGGAAACATTATACTACGACTGGATTTTAGACCCTGTGTTCTGATTAAGGACGTAGAACTGCACAACTTACTAACACTATGTTCTAGTAAGATGCCACTTTCATATTATGAATCCGGGGTCGGCTAAACCTTATTCATTGACTATTAAATCAACATGTTAACAATTTAGTATGAACTTATCCCCGACAGTTCTTATCAACACAATAACTTGTTGATTAATGGCGAAAGAGATTTAGAATTATAAAGTGAATGCTACTGCTGTCTCAGGCTTTGTCACCTTTGATGTACTATGGATGAATAATTGTGTTTGTAGAAAGAGGTACTGATAAATGAGGTAAAATTGTAGTCATGTTCTAGTCTCTTTTTTCACTGGGGAAATCCAATGTTACTTTAAGATTTGTGAACAGTTTTGGCAACTTTCCTGTGAGATTTTCTTTGTTTGTTTCCAGGCTGCCGAATCAGGCGTTGTTCGAGTGCGAAACATCAGTACTGCGTCTGGAGAAGGGAACCTTCTCACTAATTTGCGTGTGGCGTCAAACGAGTTGCTTCATCCTCTAATTCTTGCCTGTGCCACTCGGCAAACTAGACTTGTTCAGATAGCCTTGCTGAGCATACAGAGACTTGTTCAACATCGTGTTCTTGAAGCGGTGAGTCTGTGTGTCATGTGTCTATGTTGAAGATTTCGTTCCATTTTTTTTCCACAATTTCAACGTTTCACCATTCTACATTAACATCTATTTAAATAACCCCACTACCAACTTCCTTATTACCCTCGGCACTGATCAAATATTTCTCGACATTCTTGTTGAGAAAACACGAAATGTTACTTTATTCTTTATTCCGTTAAAGCTGAAGTTTGGGCAGTATCGCCTTTTTCAGAGCCTGGAAGGGTATACCTATACACAATTTGTTGCGCTTATTATCAAACGCTTTAATAAGATAAATACGAAGCTGAGAATTTATATAGTAATCACATGATCAACTTCTCGAAAAACTCACCGTTTATTACGTGCCTTTCATTGAGTAAGAACAGCTGATCAGAGTCGCATATGGTTGATCACTGCACCACCTCACATCAGAAATGGATGCGAAGGTACGGGGCGAGGTTACATGTGATCTCTGGACATTGCTTACCCAAAAAGCTTTAAGGAGTTTGCGTCCTGGTGTTTTGGGATCCTGGTGCGAGGATAGCGACTTTTATATCAAAATCATCTGTGCTATGCTTTCGTATCCTATACGTCCCAAATGGGTTATTTGGCCTTGTTTTTCGTTTACTATCTAGGTGTTCTTTAATACGAATGCATAGTGGCCTACATGTTTCCCAAATATATTCATTTCAGCAAGTATTACAAGAGCTCAGGTGTATTGCACCTGAACTCATGCAGTCACGACCCGACCGTAAGGGCAAATTACGCAATTCTGTGTTTCACATAGACGGTCAGTATGACGGTTATGAACTAATTGACGACGAAGAGTATTCGATGATATTTCAGTTATCACTGCCACTCCTCTAGACCTGTACCTCTCAAGCATAGTTTTGTGGCTACATTTACTTCATTGCTGATAAAGGGCAACGCAAGCGGGATTTTGTTTCGGCCAAACCGATCTTTTGGAGCGTCGGTCTCTTTTTGAACTTATCTCGTACGGTTGCTATTTCGCAGCTGGAGATGATTGTTTGCCGAGTCAAGTCGTGTGATTCTTCTCTTAGCTCCCCATTTGTGCACACAGAGGTGGCCGTTCGAAACGCATTTTTCACAGGAGCTCTCTCTGTGTGTGAAAGGTGGGAATAGAGAAAATGAACAAGGATGTTTTTATTACCTGGTTTTCGGTGCCACTTTATCATTTAAACACTATCTGATAAGTTGACTTGAACGTCAAGAAACGAAATCCTATTTTCTTTTGGTTTCTCCTGGGTGAACTTAATACGCTCAGACTGCTCACTCAATAATTCAAAACGTTTGTCTATCTCCTACTAAGCAGAGAAGATGTCAAAACAGTCGTCTACATATCTACAGTATGGTAGCTGCCGGAGATCGATAAAGGGGGCTTCGATTTAGACACGAACTCAATTGCAAGACTTGATGCCAGCCGCTGTCCCGTTGCCAATATTCATTTGCGCCTAATATTTCTTAGACCATCTGAAAATCAAGCAGTAGGCATCCTTTTAAGAGAACCATAAGCTGCTGAACAGACAAGCCATGCATATTTATTCCTCCTTCGTGTTCAACAAGAATTTCGAGGACGTCGTGTGCATTGCGGAGTCATTCGATACGTCGGTGTAAAGCGCGGTAACGTCGAAAAACTCAATCACGTACGCGTTGTTAGGAGATGCGTTATGTAGACGTTCTAGGAACAATTGTGTGTTCATGAGATGAGCTGAAATATATTTATGCATCTGGGTGAGTATTAGGCTTAGAAACCATGTTTTTCTATCTGTTGGTCCGTCTACACAGTTGGTAATGGGTCTAACATTGAGGAATGACGGATTGCTTGACGCCAGATCATCGACTGATACTAACTTTAGCTCGTATGAAATGCTGAGATATTTGCAAAACTCCGGACCACAGGTGTATGCAGTGGGGAACGAACATGCGCTGTTGTCCTTACCGGGGAGCAGCGCACTTCACCGCTACACCATCCGGGGGGACACCACTAACTTTAGCGTTTTAATAGGCATGTATAGGAGGGTACGTGTTAGTCTATCCGTTTTAAGATTCGAAATAACAGATGGTTTAAGCCTTCCGTCCTTGCCACATTGACCTCGTGATTGTCCTTTTTCGGTATTTACTTTTGTATTCCTTTTCCGATCATTGGCGATAAAGAGTAGCATCACTGAGATGTTCCTCCGCTATCTTGACATCTAACTAGCGAGGAATACCTACGAATTCCTCCTTCGTATCACTTACTGATAATCTAATGGTCTTTGAATTTATTAATTCTCTAATTTCTCCCATACCACATTTTTGTGCGTCTCTGGCGTTAGAGATAAGCTTTCTATCGCGACAGTGATTAATGTTTTTGAGAACGTCTTCTGAAAACGTGCGGAATTTTATGTGTTTTTCGTTAGGATTTTGCTTTCTAAAAAACGCTCAGGAAGGCGGACGTGGTGGCAACGTCGCCAATTCTTGATTTTCATTTCTCGCCATTTCTTGATTTTCATTTCTATTTAATGTTTTATGTTTGTTGTAATAGCGGGGTCGATCTTGAAGTTCATACAAATTGCATGCAATCCTACGCACGGTTGCTTTAGAAGTGGGTGGCGATGGTAAAAATTTTGGGCCCAGTTCTAGTAGCGAGCACGCGCTCTCGGTTATGGTCATTCCCCCAAGTATAGTGAGTCTAGATTTTCTTAGTGCATTATCAACTCTGTTTTGACTACTACTAGAAGCGATTGTCTTTAAATTACACACATAATGTATGTTATAGAGTTGTGCCAATGTTGTGGTGTCTGAGCTATGGGGATTAGTGGAAGCGGAGTGCGAAGAATTGCGTGTACTTCAAACTGTCCCCCCACTGGTTTCTGCTGATTTGTTGGTTACGGGAAACACTCTTGCTAAGGTCAGTTTCGGTTTGTGAACTTGCGAAATTTTATTTGAATAGATATGCAAGTATTATAGCATATGGTATCCTTAGAAGTTCGGAATTGTGATTTTTAAAATCTTCAGAACCATTATTTCTGTTCGCGTTTATTTGTAGCTTTGTGATTCAAGATACGGATTTTTTTTTTTGAAAATGAATAGGGGTGTATTGAATGAGATTTTAATTTTAACACATGCACTTTATTTTTTCTGCAAGGAACTTTTTCTGCTGCCTATTGTTAGTTCTAGTGCATCGTCATGTGCTTTCGTATGCATTTCTCCAAAGATCCTGTAGTCATCAACGCTGCTTCAGCTGCGGTCCGGCAGTTGGTTGGCTGCGTTTTTGAACGCGTAATCCAAGTAGTTTTCTCATTGTTTTATCAATTTAGTAGAGCTTATTTAATACAAAGCTGAACAGCTCTCCTGTATTCAGGAAGATGGTGTTTTCAATACGGAGCTAACTGTGGTGGCTTCTCAGGGTGGGCGATCTTTGTCCAAGTCTGCTCCTCCAACTTTAAGACCATGCGCTGCCGACGCTTATCTCTTGTTTAAGGTATTTGAACTTCTATGACTTGTCAATGAATCGCAGTGTTTAAATTTACCACCTCTCAAGGATTTGTGTCTGCTTATTAATGCAAAGCCCAGTGTTTGGTTAGTTGGCATTCACGAGATGACTAGGACTCTCGGACTGGAGCTAATTGAATCGATCTTAAAAAGCTATCCAAGCGTGTTTTTTAAGGTATGTGTATCATATTGCAATTTTTCATGCTCATTATGGCAAACTATGTCACCTTCAACCAGACGGATGCTGAGATATGGGCAAAGCTCGAAACTTCAGGAGGGTTTCGAATCTGCGATTACCCTTACCAGGGTTTACTCGCTATCCACCATACAAACCGAATCCCTTGCTTTGCCTTTCTCAGCAATATTTTCACTCTATGGGTGCTATCAGCATCAATAGAAATCACAGACTGTGGGGATGACTGCAGAATAAGCTTTACTGGGTTCACTGCCAACCTTACTCCCCAGATTGTTCCCGTTGAGTTGCCGAGTTTTGCTCATACCTAAGCATCATTGTGGTTCTGTTTCACTCTGACATGGAAAAACAATAGGTAGTAAATAAAGGTCAAGAAATTATGTTATCTTCCTACATTTCAGCACCAAGAATTTTGTGATCTTTTGAAGTCTGAAGTTTGTCCTCTCGTTATAAAGTTGTTCTCTCCGAGCCTAAAGTCTACGCAGGTACGTACAGATTGAACTTTAGGTTGAAATGAAATGTGGAAATTTAAGCAACTCTTGTAGAAACAGTTGCTGTTTACGATTTTACTAATTAGTTTTATCACAATAATTCTGTCATTCTATTAACGGTGCTCATTTTTCTCGACATTTTCTGCCTTATATTGTCAAAACAGAGTTCGAAAATTGTACCTGAAAAAGCATACTTCATACTCACACTACTTCACGCTTCAAAAGCATACTAGATTGGTAGCGGACTTGTCTGGGAGGATAGCAGCACTGGCTCTATGCACCGGTTGGCCACCACGAGTCATTGTAAAGTCAATATATGCATTCAATTACCTCTAACGATACTTAATGAATTTGAATGCATGGCGTATCCCACAGGAATTGGTTAACTCCGAGAGCTTTTAGAGCTTCTTATTGCCAAAAGTGTTTGAAAATTATATCTAGAACGTATGCTTCCAGGTTTCATCACAACATGTGTCATCACGTCCATCTTCAATTATTAATTCACCAAATGATCGACCGTACTTCCCTATTGCAATGCGCCTAGTGCGAATTATCCTTTGTATTATTACGCTTTATCATCACTTGTTAGTGAGTCTTTCTTGTTCATATGTTTTTTCCGTTTTCTTAAAATTCGTGGGAATTTTTTCACAGCCTACGGAATGTGAGATATTTCTTTCTTCACTAGTAAAATTTGTGGACGTTGATCGTAGGGGATGGCAACGTGCACTTTCATTGGAAGCACTTCACAGGATTATTATTCGACAGGACATCGTAAGGTAAGCTCGTAGTTTCTATATGTGGCACATTGTTTTCAATTTTTCGAAATTTTTTTTAAGATGGTTGTGTGAAAATTTCGACGCTCGGTCTAATTCTGCCAAAGTTTTGGAACAGTTATCACACTGTATTTTCTGTGTCATTCAACAAAGTTTTATGGTATCAAAACTGTGCTATGGTAAGCTTTTTCTTTTTTTAGATGACGAAATTTTTCTTGCCATATTTTTCATAATCGTTTGTTTTGGGCAAAGTCGACTGTTATATAGTATCTGGCTTTTCACAGTATATTGTCTTTCTTTGCAGAGTCAGATATGGAACCAGATGCTGTTCAACCAAAAGGAGCATCAGGTTTCTACTTTTGTAATGTATGGTATCCGCATGTGGAACAATTATCAGCCAAAAAATCCATCTTGTAAGTTCCTGAGTATCATTGCGCAAGTGTCATAAATGCCATGTGCTGTAGATTGGACAGTCTGGAAAAACACGAAGCTGGAGTTTTGCCTGACGGATACGTAGTATCACGAGCTGCTTCTGTATTAACTGATTTTGTTCAAGCGGTTAACGCAGCTGTGGATGCTATCACTATACAAGGTTTTTATTGGTTATCTTATAATGTTTTCGGTTTTTTCTTACATTTTCATTACCTTCTTCTGAGATCTAGGAAATGGAGACAAAAACAACAGCAACCATATTGCTAAGACAATTTTCGCCAGCTGCCAACCGAATTTGCTTTGCGGGTTAAGCTTTCTGCTTTCTGCAAGGTTCTTTAATTTTTTTCTCTGTGAAATGGTTTCTACGAAAACCTGCCACTTGCGCATGTAATCTTAAAAGCTGTGTTCATTCTAGAGAGAATGGCGGTATACATGTGGATTATATTCGGAAATGGCTTGGGTTTTTGTGTAACTACTCGTAGCATTTTAATTCTTTCAGATTATACCAATTTGATTTCCTAACATTATTTAGTACGGATGAGACGGTAACAGACCAGCTTCTCTGTGGATTATCTACACTGGTGTCAGTTGGTTGCAAACTGAAGGTTGTTCCTGCAAGTCTCAATTGTCTGTTCGTGCTATGTTGTACTTGTCTACCTTCTGCAACTTACTTGAGTTCATACGCAGCAGTAGAGACACCACAGTGTGATGGTAGGTCTATTCCTAGTTTTTTCTATTAATGCTTACGTTCTTTGTTTCCCTCTAATGTTTTACTTACTTAGGTACTTTGATGATCCGTCTTCACTGGTTGTGCTTGCCCCAGTGTAATTTCCATTAATTTATCTCTTGCGCAAACATCGTCAATAATAATGGTATGCTTCGAATATGGTGACGTCGGCGTCTACGTGTCATCTATTCTTATTGTGTGACCAGCGCGTTTTTCACTGTTGATGTGTGTTCTCCTCTATCTCGAGGATTGAATAGGATTCGAAGATCTAAGCCACGCATTCCGGCTAGACGTAATAAGTGCCGGTTAAATTTTAGGAGACGTCCAAGCGCTCTGTGGGTAGAGCGCGGACTTACTGATGTGGTTGAAGTATCAGCCCATGTTTTTGATGCATAACAGAGCGCTGCGAGGAAGTTGGTCAGTGATCTCTTTGACCGGCTCAAATGCTACCCATGCTGCTCTTCTTCGGTCTTATTTCTTCTTCAGTTCCCTGTCTTCATTGAACGTCCATGGAGCACTTATGAGTTGGTCTCTGTAATCAGAAAATTACCCAGTTTCATTTGTTTGGATTGGCACCATAGGTTCTTCGTGAAATGGGTATTCGCGCTGTTTATTCGCACTCCAATCTTTGTTATTTTATAATAGCAACTCTTTATATTTGGCGCTATCCTTAGGTAGCTACTAATAATTAATATTTGTTCTAATCTTGAGATCACAGTCTTGGTATAAAATCTTTCTTATGGTCATTGTTTCGACGTCGTTGTTTTCTCACAGCAGAAGTGATCTGAGTCCAGTGTCCACAGTTGCTCCTACATGCGTTCTGGGTATCCGTTCTCTCATCGAGTCGAACCCATTTGAGTGAAGCAACACTCGAATGAAATAATCTAAACTGTTTTTCCACAGGACTTGTTTTGATCAGTTGTCGACTGATAATGATTCTTCGCTGTCGTGAAGACAATCCGTGCTGCAGCAGTTGGTATATCAGCTGGTACATAATGGATTAATATTTTTGAAAACCGACTATCTTCTTAACCTCGTCATAATTAATCAATATTTTTTTCCATTCGTGAGCTTATAAGCGTCGAAACACTAGCCGAAAAAGTTTCCGCAGCAGTCTCACGTTAGTTTATCGATGAAAGAATATATACATAAATGTGTTATCTCTTGCTGTAATTTGACAGTTTTAAAATCTGCCATATTTCTTTTGGCAAAAAGCTGGAAGTGTTCTGTCTCCACGAAATTTTTATAGCAATGTGAAAGTTTTTAAAAGAATGTAATCTTTTTTAGGACCGTTACCCGAATTGGTGTTTGATTCTCCATCTTCGTTACAGGAGGTGGTGGTTTCGGGTACTCCTTGTCCGTCTCCTTTGGTACCACCGGATAAGTGGAATGACCAAGTAACGGTAATGTAACCGCATTTTATTTTGATGTTTCTGATTGAAAAATTTTATTGTTAATTTTTTAGTTGACATCACGTAATTTGCAAGCGTCTCGTATTCTTCTCAGTTCTATTTGTGGTCACGCCTCAACGTTGGATGAACTTTGGCACGTTCTTAGTTTGCTGAATAAAATTCGGAACTCCATATCTTTTAGATCTCTAGGTACTTTTGCTTATTAACTTGTCAGCACATTGCTTGGCTGCTCGGGATACGGCCTTCTGCTACGGGTACATTTTCTTGCGAGAAGACGGAAATCGACCAGCAAGGTGTGTAATATATTCGTACCTCTATTTGAGGGTTGAACTACTTTTTAGCATCAGTATTAATACGCAATTTTTCATTTTTGGTGAAATTGATTAAGAATATAACGTTGCCAACAACGATTGGTGTCGGGATTTGTGTTGTTAAATGTTTTTGCAGGTAATTGTGGAAATGTAACGACTACCGCACTATCTGAAATTCCAACACTCGTCGGTTTTGTTTTCTTGAATTTCTTGTATTTATTTAGCACATTTCCTTGATAAAATGCGTTTCGTGACCTACAAGGCGGACTGAATTTAATATTAAGGCTGCTTTGTTCGATAAAGTCGCGTGTGTCTCTGTCTCTCTTTCGGACGGATCCTTCTTGACAGCATTGGAAGCACTTATGAGGTCTTTATACGACACAATATGGATTTCTATAAGTGTTGCAGAAGTGTCGTAATTCCGATGTGGCGTGGTCACAAAGTTTATTTCGTGATTATAAATGGAAATGCCCTTTAATATGTTTCAAATGTTTAAATTATTTAGTCTTCCGTTACAACTCAGCTTTTTGTTACTAAATATACCTTCACTTTATTGCCTAGTGTATTTTGTTCAATTTCATTCGTTTCAATTGTAATTATTAGCTTAGGTTATCTGATGAAAATATTGCCGTGGCAGCGACTGGGCGAGAATCTTCGTTGTACCCCATTGCAATGCTACTTCGATTATCATGCCTGAACCTCCACCGACAGCAAGTGTTTTGGGACCACGTTACTGCACATTTTGTTAAGGTTTTATATTACAATTCTTAGGTTAATTATTGTCGTCAGGGATTAGATTTTATTACTTGGACACACACCGGAAATATTGTGCATAGGTTGTAATGGCTTTTCGAGTTTTTTGCTCTTTCTAGATTTGTGGTCACACAACCGCTTCTTTACGTGATTGGGCTGCGGTTGCACTCTCTAGCATTATTAAGCAGGCTTTTAAGGCGAAAACGAGCATGACCGAGGCGGTGGGTGGTCAGATTGAATCTATGAATGTTTACAACACATGTCAGGCTATCCATTGTTTTTTTTTTTTTGAAAGAAACTATGTAACTTTGTATCTGTCACCTGCGGTGATTGTTGCAGTCGAATGTGTGGCGAAACCCTTTTCATACTTAATCTCTAATTACCAAATAGTGATAAGGACATCAGAAGCTTTGTACTCTGTTTGCTTATGTTCCTCCCAACGGTTTACCGCCTCATCGTGGCTAGGAGGTGTTCTTGGGTGTCGGGCTGCGACGTACAGCGGGGAGATTCATCCTCCGGGCAGGGTTTACCAAGCTGAGAAGGAGTCCGGCGTTTCCATCAGGAAGTCCAGCTAAGAGTAAACAAATACTATCAAAGTCGCATGGAGGCAAATCTCCCTCTGATCCACAAGGGCTGCAACTGCCTGTGGTGGTGAAGACCTGGGGCAGACTTTGGCCAGGCTGGCTTCGGGATTCCAGGGAACCACGGTGGCTTAACCAGCAAATCTCCGAAAAATGGTGATTATGCTGGGCTTGCACAACCATTGAGGACGTGCCGTTCAAGTATCAAGTTCAAGTAAGTAAGTTTGCTTATGTTATCTTCACCTACTTTGTTCAGGAACACCAGCTGCTCACACTTACTACGTTGCGTTTAATGTGTTCGATTCACCATTCAGACGTCCAGCGTCGCCAATTAGATTGTTTAATGGCTTTGCTTCAAACTGATGGAGCTCAGCTCAAGCCTGATATGTGGCAGCACGTGATCTACATAGTTGCTGCTGTTGTTGACGAAGAGAACTGGTACGCTATGTTGTGGCTTTTCCCCATCTTGGTCTACTCATTACAGCTTCTTTCCTTACTAGTCTTGGTTGATTTTATTTTTTTTGTGCGAAGATTTTCAGTTATTCCTTAATTTCTGTGTATTATTAGAAATTGCGCTGTCGTTTATTGGTTGCTACGTTATGCAAATTGAAATCATGATGTAGTCGTTCTGTCCTACGAAAAGCGGGTCGCGCAGTCAAAAAGGAGAACTTATTAGTTCTTTGAGAAGTAGTTTTTTTCAACTAGAGGTGCGAAAATTATCATATTTGAGCAGCAGAAATCAGCTTTGAACGCAGTTAGGTTGCGCTGCTATGAAAATATTACCAGATTGCTTAGAATCGTCTTTCCGCGTTGTATTTCAATTTTTACAAATCGTAGATTTCTGTAAAACTAGCTGCAGTTTCGAATCACATATCTAAAACTATTGGCATAACAGAAGTTTAGTTGTGACGAATCGTTAGTGCGACAAGGCTATCTTGGTCTGAGGCTTATAGCAGCGGACTTTCTACAATCAATTCCCTTCGAGTGCATTTCTGTTCTTGTCGAAGCTGTAGCACGCTATGGCAAGCAGGCCGTTGATCACAACATTTCTCTCTCAGCACTGACACAGTTGGTTCGTCTTTCGTGAACACTTTACTTGATGAAACTATTCGTTAAATAAGGTAACTAGTTGTTTTGATAGTAGTGGATGCTGGATATGAGCGGGCACTAAGATTCATTTTATATTTCTCTGATAAAACTTTATTTAACAATTCTCGTATTTATTTGTTTTCAATTCCAGTGGACTATTTCTGACTTTGTGTTTCGGAAAAGTGAGATTGTTGGAGCCGATGCTTCCGAGAAAGTGATTTTTCTGATCGAGCTTTCGTTCGAATTTTTGTAGTACGGTTTGCTATAGTTTTAAATGTAAAATTCGTTCAGGTATGGTTGGTATTGTACACTTGTCTTTCGGAGTTGTGTGTGGATGTGAGACCATCAGTTCGAAAAAGTGCATGTCAAACATTTCTTCAAACTGTCGCTTCACATGGCCATGCATTACGAATAACGACTTGGAACCATATGATTTGGCAGGTGTGACTTTATACCCGTGTGCATACTGCTTCAATTTTTGCAAACGTACGATTCGAATTCAAGAGAATATGTGCGTCGGCGTGGTGTAGGGTATGCTGTTTTTCTTCACTGAGTCATTATTACCAAACTTCATATCCTAAAATGGCCCAACACTGGATTTTTTAAAATCTCCATCTTCTTTTTTATCTTCTTTCCATTTTACCATATTTCACACGATCGTATTGCAGATAATCATGCCATTATTGGATCGAGTGAGGGTACAGACACGTAGTGCCTCTACAGAACGTGCGAGTGGTACTTTATTAATGCATCACTCGAGAGATACTCAACAGAAGCAGTGGACAGAGACGTGCATTCATACTCTGTCAGCTGCTTCGAAAATATTCATCACTCAACGAAAGGCTCTTCTCGCTCTAGGTATGCTGCATAGAAAGTATTGAGGAACATGTATTCTTTCAATGATAAGGTAAAACTTGATTGTCCACAGTTCTTCCTTCATCCGATACGCAGTTCTTCGTGATGGCATCGTGTGTAATCTAGTGGAGCACCGCTCGAATGAAGAGTGTCACTCGGCAATGCTCTCTATACAAGACTTGTATAGCTTGTCGGTGATTTGATTAGTCATACCGAGATTAAAGGAAAGTCGGAATTTGAAATCCTTTGAAATAGTTTCGACCCTCATTGATGGTCTTCGTATTCACTTCTTCTGACGCAGCGGTTCGGGGCGCCCTGCAATACACATGGGGTCGATTCCCCCGCCCCTGGCTCACCAAGCCTTCCATCTCTCCGTGGTCGGCAAATTGGTACAAGACTTGTCTGGGAGGGTAGCAGCACTGGCTCGATATATCGGTAGGCCACCATGAGTCATTTTAAAGGCCAGATATGCATTTATTCATCTCCATCGATGCTTAATGAAGTCGAATGCATGGCGCATCCCTCAGGGATTGATCAACACCCAGAGGTTTATCGTTTAGCTCTTTATCATATTCATTTATTCTAGTCGGTTTAATGGAGGAACTGCAAGAGATTAATCTAATAATGTCACTACTACAGTGAAGTTTAGGTATGTTCTTCTGTTTCACATTAGATTCAGTTAAATCCTATTCTGTGAAGCCACATCTGCTTTGCCACAATTGTTATCTTCATGTTAATCGAAATTCAACTGAAAGTTCGCACATCAAGATTGTTTTTGCAGAAGATTTCGGATCAGCATGGGAAGCGTTGCTGACATATCTGGAGTGGGCCGCCTGTTACCAAAACGCTGAGCTTTCGCTATCTGCCATTAAAAGTTTCCAAGTGAGTTTCGAATTCTTATGCATTCGACAATTTTTTTCGATCATTCTCTTTTATTCCAGGAGGTTTTACTTGGAAAAGTGTCTATGCAAACTTTAGACATTAACATTCGAGAAAGAGCGAGCAGGTAAATTATAAATTATATTTGTCGCACACGTTTATATCACGAGTCAGAGTAGCCTGGATTTCTGCTCTGGATTTTTGCATTATCTTTTAGAGACACTGTGGAACCCATCAATATCAATTACTAATTATCTAGGTTAATGGTGTTCTCGGAAACTGCTGCTTTTTGGTTTCTTTCTTGTAAACGAAATGTCGTACAGAAATATATATTATACTTCTTTTATACCAATTTGTAGGTTAACTGTGAATCTCTTTTCGAGAACAAAACATCTTTATGTGCTGCCGATCTCGTGGTGTAGTGGTTATCACATCTGTCTAACACACAGAAGGTCGGCGGTTGAGTGAAGAGAAATCAGAACACTGCTCTGTGGAGGACTCGATCCTCGACCTTCAGCATGTTACACAAGTGTAGGAACCACTACACCACGTAGTCGGCAGATTACCAAATATGCAACAGCTACTGTAATATAAATCCAACGCTCCAAAGAGAGAAGCGTTGTTCTGCTACAGTTTATGAGAATTCAAAACACTGACTTCTGGCGAGCACGAACCTCGACCTTCAGCGTGTTACACAAATCCAGGAACCACTGTACAGTGTGGCATATTGACAAATATGCAACTACTACTGTAGTATATGGTATAAATCCAACGCGCCAAGCAGTGACTTGCTGTTCTCTTCCCAATTAAGTGAAGGCAAAACGCTGACCTCGGGCGGGCTCGAACCGCCGACCTTCTGTGTGTTAGACAGATGTGATAACCACTACACCACGAGGTCGTACCACAGTTGAGCTTCGAACCAGTGATTAACCTTCCTTTCCTGAGACTCACGTATTATCCAATGCATCACTGAAACTCCTTATTTTTCTTTCTCTCAGTCAGTTTTTTACGGTAACGGTGCCATCAGTAGTCATCCATCAACAGAAATAACGATACCGTTAGATGTTGTCCTGAAGGATGAAGGACAACAGCGCGTGTTCGTTCCCCACTGCATACACCTGTGGTCCGGAGTTTTGCAAATATCTCAGCACTTCATACGAGTTATATTTCACAACATACTCTGCCATTAAGAAGAAAAAGGCAGTAAATAAAAAGAGTTAAGATACCGTTAGAGTAAAAGATGGCTGAGAGAGAGACAAAACATTAATCTGGATAGTGCAGTGGATAGCACGGGAGTCCCAGGGGGAAGCGTGAATTTGAATATGTTCTAGAGTCCGGAGTTTTGCAATATCAGGGTTATTACGGTTGTATTTCACATAATATCCTGTCATAAAAATAATAGGCGGTAAACGAGGTGTTAAACATTCAAATCTTTCAATTTTTAAACTTATTTAGCAATGAAGTTTTCGAAAGATTGAAGGCGAAATTCAGATTTTCAAAGTTTAGTACCTAGAAACAACTGCCAGGAACGTAACACAGAATATTGTGGGAAATCACATTCTATATGCGAGATCGTACTTGTTCGTTTACTTTTGTAGTCCAAATACTATATAAAAAAATGTAAGTGAAACCTAAGTAATGCATTTTATTAACTAGAAATTATCAGAACCACCGTGATGGGATGCAAAACTAATACCTCGTAAGCAAAGGTCTTCAGACACTGTTAATCTTGTAATGTGTTAATCTGTTAATCTTGATTTTAATTAATAAGGTCCACTGAAACTCACATCTGTTGGTTTGAGCATACTATTTTCTTATCACATTTGCATTGCCGCTGTATGAATATTGTGAGGGTTAACGTTTATGATTTTATCATACTTGTAGCATGGACAATTCTTGTGATGAAGTGATTCCTTACCTCCCTTTACCTCAGTGGATGGAAGCTTGGAATGTCAGTGAAAGCTTTTATTTCCAATTTTATGTTTATGTTCATCTTCGTCATGCAAATTCATTGACCGTTTATTGTGAACTATTTATAGGCACTTGTTTATTTACGAAAAACTTTTTTGGACTAGTTCTCACATACACTTACCATTATTTTGTGATTTAGGTATGGCAAAGAATATCTCGAGGTTTGGCCCGCATAGGAGTTGGTGCCACAACATCTGAAGGTTTGTTATGGTTATGCTTTCGCGGCGTTTCACATATATTTAAATCAATGCATACGATGCACTTTGCGGCTCGAGAAATATCCATTCTCCTATTGTTGCATTTTTCCCTCTTTGATTCGGTTTTCTCACCCGTTTATCCTTATGCTCTATGTATGTACTTTTGACTAACTACTCATCAAGAGTGAACCCAATAGATAACAGATGAAGAATCAAAAATATATAGGGAGATGATGACAAAGATGATGACGATGAGATAGTCGGTCATGATGCTGCAAGCAGTATCGTGACTGTTGGGTTTTCATTAATAGTCATTTTGGATTGACCAGATGTTCCTGTATGTATGCACAGCACCAAGATATTTTAACACTTTCACGACCTTGCGCATTGATTTCAATATGTACGCTGTTGTGCGTTTCGTACCGTACGTCTTGAATCCAATGCGCATCTTAAATGCCCTTCAATGACGCGCCGTCCGATGGGGTTACCACGTGAAAATGACCGCAGTCCTGAAAGAATTGAACCATTTCCATTCTAGCTACTATTTAGTGCACAGAATTAACCAAAACTGCTTCTCTTTCAATGTTTTGAAGTAGATACATTACTTTTTTTGCCACATGACAATTCTACATTCTTGTAACGTTTCTTGTAATTACCACATTCTTGTAACGTTTAAATTTGAGCAGTTAAAGGGTTAAATCCTCTAGCTCTCGAAACTTGTGGTTAATCCTTTCGCGACCGTGACCATTTCTGCATATTAGGCCGACAGCGCGTCATCACAGTACAATCGGAATACGCATTTAAATCAAGATGTACTGTCCATGAGCCTCCGCGAGAGGCCCGACGCACTGATTTTCTGAGATTATCGTTCTATTCTTCACTTTCGTTTCGCCTTAAGATTTTTCACCTATTCACTCGCGTACAAATTACACTCCTCGGTCCGTGTTTCAAAACGGATCGGAGAGGGTTCAGTTCTTTCTCATTTTTTTCCATGTTTAATTGCTGCATATTCGCAATGTTCTTCCGTACATGTTCACGTGTTCACGGACACCTCTTGTGTGTGATGATAAAAAAAAATTCGTCCATTATCTGACCATCATGTTACCATTTTTTTTTGCATAGGTCGGTGTATTTCTGTCTCTTAGATGTTTTTAGTATCCTCTGATTACATCCCATCATCCGAAGCAGCTTTTTGAAAGTATGGCTAAGAATATCTATTGATGGACCAGTCCCAGTATAAAATCTGTGTTCGACGAGCTACAGATTGACTACGATGGGCCGTGAAGAGTTACATGATCAAAAAAGTAATGCATTTGCTTGAATATTTGTAGAGATGCAGTGAAATTTTGGATAAATCTATGCACTAAATAGTTCCTGCAGTACAAAAAGTTTATCCTTTTCACAACCGTGACCAATTTGGCATAGGAGATCTATCCGATGCCATGTCAGTGGAGCACAACTGAGCATTGAAATCAAGACCATCCGAGCCGTACAACAGCATACATATCGAAATCAATGCGAATGGTCGTGAAATGGTTAATGAATTGTTTATAGATAACAAATAGGAGCTTACTGTAAGAAGTACCAGATACGGAGAGAAGGATGAGCGGTAGAGACTGACAGCAGTTGGATAAGTTGAAATACTCGTTGGCGTATGCCTTCAGATGGCAATTACTAACTTGTTTTACTACATGTTCCGATATCACATGTATCACACTGCGGATCCCAGAATTACTTGCATTCGTTTCCTCGCACCAATTATCCACGAAGGTCTTCCAAATTTTGAGCGTGGCTTCGGCTTGATAATTTTTTCGTCTTCGTCACGAATATCGTTGAATGCTGGTCGTGTCGACGATCCCTCAAAATTTTGGGGTAGTATTGCTGGGGTTTTCACGCGTGGATTGGGGAGATTTGCTGACCTAGAGCGGCGTCGAACCACTGTACGACTAGATCGGGATGCGTACGTAGTGGACGGAGTGAACTAGGTATTTAAAAAGTTATTTGTGAGAATTGAAGATTGTAATTTAAACGTTTTTCACTTCTTTTTCTTGAGTGCAATATCTGCAGCATCAATGAAGCAATACGAGAAAAAGAGTTGAGAATATGCAGTCGGTGAACTGTACAGATTGATTAATGTGAACTCTGTACACGAATAGTTTATTTCAACTGTGTACGAAGATGCGCGGTAATTCTGAAAGGATAGAGGATAGAGCTTTCTGTGTTGATCAAACCATGAGGGGGTGCGCCATGCATTCGACTTCATTAAGTATCGGTTAGAGGTGATTGAATCACATCTGGCCTTTACAAGGAATCTCGGTGGCTTACCGATATATCGAGCCAGTGCTGCTATCCTCGCAGACAAGTCTGGTACCAATTCACTGATCGCGGTGGAATGGATGGCTTGGTGGGCCAGGGCGCGGGAGGCGGCGCGGTAATTCTTGCCTCCACTTAGGTGTTAAATTGTCGAAATCTTGACTGAAAGAATTTGAAAAGGCGTTGTCGCATTTTTTTGAACTTAAAATTTTTGAAATTTTGACTGTTTAACTTTTGTGTGTGTTTACCGCTACCTCTGTCATTCGACGTTACAGTTCTACAGCTTACATTATAGTTCTTAGAAATGTTGGGAATGCTCATAAATTTCGTGTTTACTTTCCAAGCCTTTACCTCCAATAAAAATCCTGTTGCTTCGTGCTTCTAAAAAAGTCCATTTGACTACTCACCGTAATATTTACCGTTGTTGAAGAAAATGGGTTTCTTTCAGGAGTAAGTGAAAAACCCTACATTCCCGGTCCATCTCATATTACCACACTCCTTCACATTTTTCCACCGCTCTTCGGTTATGTTGCGCACCATATTGATATTGATGACTTGAAAGCCGAGCACCTACCATCCGTGCTTGAGGTACGTTTTACGTGGTCCCGTCAATAGCCAACTATTTTGTGATATTTCTCCTTTACTGTATGATAATTCCACATATTTCAGAGTTTGGTGAACGTTCCTATACCATCAGAACAAGTGCCATTTATAATGCAGTCGTCACAATCTCATATGTCGCCTACTCAGGAAGCAGTTCTCGAAGCCATCCGTTCAATTTATAGTGTACGTCTTCAATAGTTAATTCGCTAATTAACTTATTCGCGACCACATCCATTTTTTGTCCTAGTTACATGGGAATGCTTCTATCATTGAATCTCGCGTTGTGAGTGACATATTACTCATACGGTTTGTTTTGCTTATTTCCCTTGCCAGAGCGACCACGCTCATTTTTGTATTCTGCGCTCTATATTTGGGTTTATCTCCATTCTACTATTTCATAATTTCTGCCTTGTTTTGTTTTTTATGCGTTTCTCAATTTTTTCTGAACTGTTTGCTGCTTTTGACACAAGCAAACCATGGTTTTGTCAACCTTCAGTAGTCGGTTGTACACCATATTTTGAGTATATTTTGGTATTTTTAAATCCTTTTTGTATTGTCCCCTGCAAATCAATTTTTGTTAGTCAAAAATCGCATTTATCCACTTAGACCATGTAGAAAGAAGGCAAAATGGGCAGCATTTTCGATCAACTGCTTATCGAAATTAAACAAAAATGAGCTGAGGACGCTAAGGGTGAGAAGTGACTTCTGTTCTTTAGCAAAGAGTCTGAAGAAAATGAATAGAGGAATGAAGGTGAAGCTGATTGTGATGAGGCCGAGATGGTCGGTGAAACAGTTAGGGGACTTCTGACCTTTGGTTCTTCGTTGACAGTTCACCTTTTGTGGACCAGCTGCTTTGATGCAAAAGAACTGATGGAGATTTATGAATTATTTGTGACTGATAGTTGGGTTCTGATTACAAGGAGAAAAACGGGCACCAATAAGAGAGGTTGCAATTGTGTAACCGTATTTTTACGCACGTATGCGAATGCGTGTATATTTTAAATCTAGAATACACTTATATTGTTTCAATGTTAGTCACGTGTAGACTGGGAAAGTTTCGGATCACAGAGAGTGAGTTTTTTGAGGAAAGTGAGTTGTAAGAAATGTAGACTGGAAGTTAGATTTTTGTGTGAGCGATATCAATGGGAACAAAAGTTTAAAATATGTGAAGCCTCAAAAAATCACTCTCTGGAAGCGTATTTATGAACGCGTATTCTGTGAAACCTTATGATTAGTAGTTTTAGAAATGTTGGGTGTATATGTACATTCTAATAGTGTTTGTATAGGTCTTAGTAGTTTATCATTTAATCGTGGTATAGTGTTCCTAGGTGTAGAACTTCAGTGTGCAAGTAAAACAAACATCTTCATGTGCTATACACCTACAAAAATATAAAGGGGCTGGCCGGTCCTTTCAGGTGGATTGTGCACCAGGCTATTGTGATGACGCCTGGATGTCCATGTGTGTGCCACACAGGGCTTCTCGGTTTGTATCGATTGACCAGCTTCAAACTTGGGTAGCTAAAGCTTCGTATGCATAACAAAAACGTTGAGAACGCAGTAATAATGTAATAGTAACAGTAGGAAAATACGGGCACAAAATAATGCAAGTCAAAGGCTATGAGATGCTACAGCTAATGCTAAGGTAGATAGATAGGGGCAACAGTATTCGAATACTATCACGATGTTAATACAACGGCAATTACAACAATGACTAGATCACAATGCAACGACTAGAAGCAGACAGTCTTGGGGATGTCACGCCAACACCATCAGTGGCCAGTGCGTCGGCTGAGATAGTGCGCTGAGCGTACGTGGGCAGAGTGAGCAAAATAGAGGGAGCAAAGTACAGCTGACCTGGGCCGTAGCCGCAAGGTCTTATATGATTATGGTCAAAACGGACCAGTGGATCACATGAGCAGCCAGATAAGGAGGAGGCAATCAACAGTTGTGTTTTAAGGCCGATGAACGACGGCACAATCAGTGCACATCAATGAAGTGCTTAATGAGTAGTGATATCAACTGTCTACTCGTTGTATTGTGCTATAGTCATTATTGTAACTGTCGTTGTATTGTTGATGTGGTAGTATTAGAATGCTATTATTTCTATTAGTCTCGCCTCAGTATTAGTTGTAGCTTCGCGTAACCGTTGACTTGCATTATTTTGTGCTCATATTTTCTTATCGTTACTATTACGTTATTACTGCTTTAATAAAGGTTTAATTACCTAAGTTTGGGGTAAAACAAGCCGGGAAGCCCCGCTTCGCAGAACCACACACACACAGACATGAGCATCCAGACGCCCCTACTATAGGCTAGTGCATCGGCCTCCTGAGTGGACCCATCGTCACCACTACAATTCTGGTACATCGTTCGCCTGAAAGGTTCCGCGAGCTCCACTGTGAAAATTTCTCTTCATTGGACTTTGTCGGACGAGTAAACTCATCGGAAAAACGGTTTTTTGTGTAATCTACTAGATGTAGAGCATAACTTTTCTTGAATCACAACTCCACATCTGTGTTAGGGAAACTTTCGAGTCATTACATCTGAAAGAAACTGCGTCGTATATCCCTTGTGCTCCCACCTCCTTGATTGAGTTGTATAGGAGCTTCATGAATAATTGAAGAACCAGTGAGAGCACTAGAGGAATTCTTTTTAATATCCGTGGGTGAAAGCTTTTGCTTATTATCATAGTACATTTTGTAGCTAACTAGCCAGTTTAAGAATGCCTCTTGCAAAACTAACCCTTTCCCATGCTTTGGTTCTCATTCGCTTCTGTTGTTGCAGGAATGTATCTCAGGTGGTGGCCCCTTACGGGACGTTTTACCGGATCAAATCCAACAACTTCTGCGGTTTAGTGCGATGGCTGTAAAAACTCCTAGTGCTCTTCGACCTTTCAGCACAACTGCATCTGGCCAGAAGGATTATGTAAGAAGTTTGTCTGTTATCTCGTAACTCTGTATTCACGGCAAGCAATTTCTTTAGGCTTTTTTTGAGAGCATTTATCAATTTGATCCATGTCATCAGACTTTTTTTTATAGCGCGATTGGGCACTGCAGTGGATAATCCCTTTTGCGGAAACAGCTCTTCGTATGGGGATCGAATTTTTCTCGTTTACTGCTGCATTTCCTGAAATAATTAGATCTCTTGTTGTTGTCGACATTGTAAAGGTTGTACATGAATATTTTGCATCGTTTCTTTAATAATAAATTGAAATTCGAGAAGTGTCATAACTATATTCCAGTTTCTTGGAGAGCCATTATACATGAAGTATTCATGCATCTCCCCGACAACATGGAAGCTCGCGTCTTCGTCATTAATGACAGTTTTGCGCATCGCTATTCCGCTTGCAAGACAGCAAGGTTTGTTGTTGTTGTTTTCAATTTTTGGACAATCCTGATATATCCTATCTTTGTTTTTGCAGTTGAACATTTTTCATGTCTTTGGCCCGTCATATGCGACACATTAGAAAAGTTTCTTTTTTCACCAAAGTAAGTTTACCAGAACTTCTTCTCTTTACTTATCATTCATGAGTTCGTTGCGCTACTATTTAGGGATTAGCTTAGGATGTGAAGTCAAAACTTATATGTTTGATTTTGGTAGAGTACCATGTCTAATTTCTTTTCATGTTTTGTTTTTCTTCACCTTTCTTTTTTAATCATGATGCGAAAAGAAGAGGTTCTTATCCATCAATAGTTGCTTAATTTATGGACGTTTCTTCCAATATAGTTGTGCAGATTACCCTGTGATGTCCTATTCTTTTTGTTTCATGTTCAGTGTTTGCCCACGGCTAGCAGCCGACGAACGCAAACGAGACGAGTTGGCGGAGTGCCAAGTTGTAGAGTTAGTGCGGTCTGAGCTTTTACTTTATTCATCTTGCCTCCCATCATCTATGGTTCAACGTCTGATTTCTATATTGAATCGCGGATCAATCAGTCAACTTGACCCAACAGACGTTTTGGGTGAGCGAGGTCTTTCTTCACACATGAAGTTCTACTTTTCCTAATTCCATAAAATTTATGCTTTCTTGAATGGATCAGAAAATGATCAAATGAACAGAAAAAGGTTCTTTGCTGTTGGTGAAATTTAGAGAATCAATATCTTAGTTGTTTGTAAGTTTAGCTACAGTGATTCTAGTCGAATTTTCGCAACAGTCCGCTTTGTCTTGTCGGTCTTCGAAGTCTCATGTAATCGTATCCAGTGAAGTTGAGCTTATCAATAAACAAAGATATTGGTTATCCGTACTACCTCATTGTTAAGATTAAATAGAAGCTGGCATTCAAAATTTTTTGAAGAATATTTCAAAACCGACTTTCCTTTAACCTCGGCATGACTAATCCATATGTCTTCTTTCTTTGATAAGCCGTCACGAAGTTGATATATGATATTTATTCGGCTAACGTTTTGACGTCATCTTCATTAGAGCTGGTGATCCGAGTCGATAGTCCACGATTCCTCGAACTGCGAATGTTCTCGAATCGAGAGATGGTCTGCCGAGGAATACCCAACTCGATATGAAGGCGAAGTCGCCACATCGAGACGAAGAAGAACCGGAGACTGTCGAGTCGCACCATCGGCTCTGATGAAGATGAGGACGTTGAAACGTTAGCAAAATGAATACCATATATCAACCTTGTGTAAGTTTATTAAAAAAGAACATATATTTTGAAGAATATTTTAGTATGAAGTGGACTTCGGAGCTGGGAAGAATTTCACCCTGTGCTGCATATCTACGGGCTTTACTGATTTCTTCCTTTTCGTGCTCTCAAGAATCACATGAATAATAAGGTCATCACAGATTGGGCATTGCTCAAACATTGGACTGATTATTTCTTTATGCATTAGTTCTCAGACTTGTGGGTAAACGCGCTCAGGTATATTCCCAAACGTTTAGAACATATGATAAATATCATAATTTTGAAATCTGTATTGCGGTACCGAGTTGAATTTGAATGAAGCTGAGAATTTTTTAGAAATTTGCGTGGCTTATCGAACCTTTTATTTACATCTTTCTATTTCCTTCTGTTTTATTGGGTTAGAAATATGGCATAGGTCATCCGGTTGTTGATAAAAGCTATCTTCCATAGAGGTGTGAAGTTCTCGAAGCGTATGATCGTACAGCGTTCTTGGATCTGTTAGATATTGATGGTTGACGGGTAATTGCTGATGGCACCGTTATTGTAAAAAAGAATCGGCTGAGAGAAAGACGAAACAAAGACGTCAATAGTGTGGTGGGTAACACGTGAGCTCCCGGAAAAGTTAATCGCAGGTTTGAATCTAGAAGGGGTCTGAGTTTTGCAAATATCTCAGAATCATTGTGGTTATATTCTACATAATACCCATTCATGAGGAAATAATAAGCAATAAATAAAAAGTTACACATATTGATGGTCTGCTCATTTTTCGAAATGTTGCATCGTGGAAGAGTTGTAACATTGTTCTCAATAGTACAAGAATTATTGCTGCATTTTTATGCTGACTGAACCAAATGACGTATAGACCACCACTTAGCCAATGTTATCGAAATCTATGGTAACCGTTTTCATGCTCTATATTCAAATAAAGCGACTATTCCTAAGATGTAGTTGGATCGCTTTCGTTCTTTCCTTGAATAAATTTTATTACTTGTTTTGTTATCGGAAACCCGGACGCATGTATTTTATGATGGTTCACTGTTCGCCAGTCAATACCGTATTTGGACCTTAAGGTAGTCGTTGTTATAGCTAGAATTTGAACGTTTCCTTCTTAAGCCACCATACGAGTCCATGAACTAAAGGGAGTTAATACGTTCATAGGTTCCCTAGTTAGCAAACAATGGCTACAGCGACGATAAACTCTGATTTATATCTTCATTAGATCTACAATTTTGTAGTCATTTACAAGTCACCTTAAATTACTTGGTTTTCCAGCTTCAGTTATTTCTATAGTCCTGTCGTTTTTCATGTTCCAAAATAATGTATCGAGACATTTATTTCCAGCTTCAGACTCGCATGCACAGCGAGTCGAGCTTGCTCGTACTTGCTTTGATGCTTTGCTTTCAACATCCAGCGAAGGTAATGGTCGACTTGGAAATGTAGCAATTGCGAGTCTTTTACAAAGATGTTCTGAGGTATTTATGGCTATTTTCATTTTTCTATTCTAGTTGTATGTTAACCGGTGTGATTCTTCGACTACTTAAGGCATGCAGTTTAGTTATATTCTGATTGCATATTTATGATGGTAGTCGGAAATTTTCGAACTGTAGCTTATCATTGAGAACTATCTTTCGTAACAAATATTGTTTAAGAGGATGCTTCGTAATTTTATTCGGAAATTTTTTTTGATTTTGAAGTGAACCTAGAGGCATACTCGAATGCAAACTTAGTGTTTGTGGCTTTGAATTTTGAATTTTAACGACGCCGAAACACTTACTGTGAAAGTAAACAATGGAAATGGCAGAAATTAGAATATCAATTTCAGTTGTTCCTTACTCGGACAATTCTTTGATTACTGATTGCAGGTAATGAATGACTTCGTGAGAGATTGGAACAGTATAGGTGACCTTCGTTTACCTCGTGGCCGAATAACTGAGATTACTTCTGCACTACAAGCTGTAGATTCGCTTATTAGCCGTCTTGCTAGGTTACTACTCTGTTCTTTCATATGTAGTTTAGTTTTTTTTTTTCAGAGTTTTACTAGTTTAACACATAACGCTCGAAATGCATTGTGTGCAATACACATATGGCGGAGGAACGGGAATTCAACACGTTAAAAGATTTTCTTTCCATATTGGGAGGATTAGTCATTGACGATACCTCTTCAGAAGAGTTCGGTGTTCAGGAAGCGAATCTGCTTCAACACATTGTCTTTACGAAGAATTTCAAATTCTTGTTATCGCAACAGTTTATCGGTATCTTAAATATATTTATAAAGAGCATTTATTTTACAAGCAAAATTTTGGTGGTGCTGTAAAGAATTAACAGTCGTGCAGTAGAACTTTCAGCACTAGCTTACACCTGCAGTTCTCACTTGGAACTTTCAGTTCCTAACAATAATGAAAAATTTCCACAAAAACCTTGCCATTCCTAAAAGTTCTTGCGTGATACTTGCACTTCATTGCAAAATGTCACATATGTATGATCAGTGTTGAAACATACAGCGTAAGCGTTAGAAATAGTTATTACATCTTATTACCACAACGCTTCCAACGGTTTACCCCGTAGTCGTGGCTGGGAGGTGTTTCTGGGTGTCAGACTGCCGTTTACAGGGAGATTTATCCCCTGGTAGGGTCTCCCAAGCTGGAAAGGAGTCCGGCGTTTCCATCAAGAAGCCTACCTAAGAGTAAACCAATACCGAGATCCACCACCGTCCTGGTATCAAAGTCGCATGGTAGCAAATCTCCCTCTGATCCACAAGGGCTGCGATTGCCTATGGTGGTGAAGATCTGGGGCAGACTTTGGTCAGGCTGACCTCGGGACATCAGGGAACCATAATGGCTTAACCAGCAAATCTCCGAAAAATTGAGATTATGCTGGGACCCGCACATCCAGTGAGGACGGGCCATTCAAGTATAAAGTTTCAAATATTACCACAACTTTCTGCGAATACTTTAAATGTTGTGGTTGAAAACGTTTATTTTACAGTCTAAAAGTTACAACTTATAAGTACGTGTAATTTGCAAGTCATGCGTAGAATTAACCAGTCTTTGAATAAAAGTTTACATTTTTCGCTTACAATCGGTAATTTTCATATAGAGCTTTTTCTTATCTGGGACTTTTAGAGAACTTTTTTACACGTAATCAACAGTTTTTAAAATCGGACTTGTCATGCTTATGTACATGAAATTTTTTACTTGGGACATAAACGTTTTACGTTTGATGTATCCCATACAGTAATGTTTCCTACAATGGCTGCATTTAGGGCTTGGACAAAAGTTTTGTAACGTATTCGCAACCATATTGCTTTGATATTTCATTGTAACATAGCTTCCTTGCTCTGGACCCAATGAAACCTTTTCTTTTTTAGAAAATTAGAATTTAACGGTGCAAAAACATTCTTCTTTTTCTAGTACATACCTAACTTAAATTGCTTTCCTGGGTATAGCTTCTCATAAGCTATGGTTTTGACAAGTTGAACAAAAACAGTGCCAATCACGAACCGTGCACATCACAATAGGGTCCGTCTGGTCTTTCCAGCCCAACGCCATCATACCGCAAAGATTTGCTGTAGGTGATCGTTATCACTCCCTTCAACAGTTTGCAGTCTCATCGTGGATGGGTGGTGTTTCTCGGTATCGGACTGAGATGTACAGCGAGGGAATTAATCCTCCCGGCAGGGTCTCCCAAACTGAAAAGGAGTCCGGCGTTTCCATCAAGAAGCCCATCTAAGAGTAAATCAATAGAATGATCCACCACCGTCATAGTATCAAAGTAGACGAATGATGGTAAATCTCCTCCTGATCTATAACAGCGACTGGCTGCGGTTGTGACGATCTGAGGCAGACTTGTACAGGTTGACCTCGGGGCTCCGGGGAACCACAATGGCTAAGCCGGTAGAAGTCCGAAAAATGGAAATATTGTTGCTGAGGCCCTCACAACCATTGAGGACGGATATCCAAGATTCAAGTATGTATATAATTAATGCAAATAAATGACCTACCGATTGCTGGTCCTCCTCCACACAAGAGTAGTACCCCATATGCTCTGTTGAATTCATGTCGTTACGGTGAATCATATTTATCGTACTGAATGGTGAGGGGGCTTTTGGTAGCATATCCATACTCATAAAACGATAGCACAAAGTTTCTTCCATAACTCCGTGAAGATCCCTACTTCAGAAGTACACTATTTCTTGAAAAATATCGCACGCAATGCGAAGGATTAGTTTTGACAAGCACCCATTGTTTAATTTCCAGTCGCTATGAAGAAGGGCGCATGTGGTGCAGGGGTTGGAGGCGCCACTGTGACGCACACGTGGAACCGATCCTCGAGCCCATGACCCACTAAGCCTTCCATCCTTCTGGGGTTGGCAAATTGGCACCAGGCTTTTCTGGGAGAATAGCAGCACTGGCTCGATACATCGGCAGGCCACCATGAGTCATTTTAAAGGCCAGATATGCATTCAATCACCTTCATTGATACTTAATGAAGTCGAATGCATGGCGCATCCCTCAGGGATTGATCAACGCCAAGGGTATTTTATGGAATGTGAGCATATCAAAATAACAAAATAAACAATGTAATATTCTATGTACAACTTATAAAACTTCGTTAAATGCTGACAGCAGTATGATTGGATGGTGAACGAGTTTTCTTTCACCACACGTATGGATTAGATATGGACCAGGAACATGGGAGCATAAAGAGAAGACCATATCAGATATATAAAAGTTAGAGAGGCACAGAAATTTCGTGAGAACCGAACAATGGAACCGTAATTTAAAGAAGCACTCCGTCGTGGGACTTGCGCGGCGCCAACGAGAGCACGCTTTTATTTGAACGCGTATTTCGATTGCGCTCCAATGATACGCGGTTGTGAAAGAGTTAGTCCCTCTAGTTCTCGAGAACCTAAAGCACGTAGGAAAATCAGTACCGCCCACAACATGAGTATATATGGTTCATTCTTTATTCAAAAGTCCGTTGTTTGTCATTTTCCGATTGTAATGAGGAGTGATAGCCATCGTATGGATTGAATAGACATAAAAAATTCCGAAATTAGCTCCACGTAAATTGAGAAATTCTCTAGAATGCTGACAGCAATGTGATTGGGCGGTGGTAAATAGCAGTTTCTTCACACGATCCATCTTTCACATCTTTTGTGCGGGTTCCAGTGCTTCTTGCGCTTGATTAGTTTCCTCGCATCGACTATCCACGAGGACTTTCGACTTTCTGCATGTGGATTCGACTACTGCTTGAGATTTTTTTTTAGTGATGAATGAACCTTGGTCCAGTTGGTTCGTTCGGGAGTTCTGAAATGGTCGGGCTAGAGCGCTTCTACTTGAATTGCAGGGAACGAACTTTTCCCAGACAAAAACTGGTACCAGTTTCCCTTACTCAGGAGCGATCAGGAGCCTGTTGATCTTCGGTGCGGGATCGAGCCGGTACCGAGCTCGTTGTTATTGTAATTGCGTAATAATTGTAGTAATTCTGTAGCCGAAGGACTATGCATCTTCCCACGCGGCTGACACGTACGAACTGAGTGTGTAGGACGTTACTTGTTGAAACTATTTTAAATTGTAGAATATTAATCATGCAATTTCTTACACTAACAGATAGTTTCCAAGTTTCCAAGTAGTTTTCTTTTCAGAGAACCGACTCAGTCTGAACTGTACTCACAGCTGGTATCACTTTATCCAAATGTGGTAGATGTGGTGAGTTGCACTCGTTCAGATCCGGTGCTGGAATCGCAACTAATCACGACTCTCAAATCCTACCAAACCTTATTGCTTCTGCAAGTGGTTCCGAAACTCCCTGTGAAGGACACATGATATTCGTCTTCAATGTTTCTCATAGATGTCGCATTATTTGATGACTATCTCGTTTGCTAAAAGCACTTAAAAATGGGTATGAGTTCCGAAATGGTGATAGTGTACATGCGTAAAACAAGCGTTTTTATTCCAACGGGTGGTGAGTTGGAATTTGTAATATACTCGTTTACTTGTTGAATATTCAGTGTTGTGTTGTAAACAGGTACTGTAAATCTTGATTACAACTTTCTTTTTGTTCGGATTCCAATCTGTAGTGACGAATAGTACTCTTTTCAAGTCGTGCTTGATGTAACTGGTAGAGCTGAATATGACACTCTAAGTATTCATTTATTTGTTTACACCAGTAAGCCGTTTCGTGCATATTACTAAGGCATTAGAAGAGTACTATGTAGGCGGTTTTTTAGTTCGATTTACCGTATTATTTTCATCACAGTATTACGAGTTGTTAATTTGGAACGACTCATACTTGTTATTAACACTATCGCCTTAAAAATCCGCATATTCCGTACCGTTGTTTCTCGAACTTCTACATCGTGAATAAAAAAGTTAATTCTTATTTTTAATAGGCCATATTTTCTCATATAGGAGTTCCGAAAATTCTTTCTGGGTTTCCTTTTTGGACAAATTTCGTACGATCTACTTTTTTCGTAGTATGAGTGATAGCTGGAGTTTCCATATCTCATCGACATCGTTTTACGCTGCTGATTCCGATCCTGGTGAAGTGAGTACGAGCAGATTATTAATATTGTCCGGAAAAGTGACGAAAGGTGGTAATGTGTTTGTCGGATTTCCATTACAGGATTGGTCCCACTGTTTTGTTTAGAACCATGTGAGCTGTCGAACTTGGCAGATGCTATGGAAGTAACACATGCACTGTTGGAAAGATCGGGTCCTTGGAGCATAGTATATCATAGGGTAGGGATAAGAGTAACATTCTGTGTTGTTACACACTTCAAAGAAAAACAGCGAGAGTATTCTCCTAATTTTACAATTGTTATTCTTTAGTTGTTCAATTCTCAGTTATTAACAGCTTTTGGGGCTAGGAAATCAAGAAACCGTGATTAAGTTTACAACATCTCTAGAGAATGCTTCAGTACTGAACTCTTGTGAAAAACAAGCAGTGGTGTGAGAGCTTATAGGTGTTACTATTATAACGTAGAGTAATGATCAGCTAAGTACACTTATAAAAGCGGACGTTTTCTAAATATCTAAACAAACAAAGAAGAGACGTATATCATAGTGCTCGATGACACCATTTCTTCAAGTGCGAGCAAATGCTGACGAGAGATTACGAAAATTTGGTATCACATAAATGGCTTCTACTATTTACTACTCCACTACTGAACTGGAAATAGACTTTTGAACTCAACATCAGATAGCGCTATTTATCGCCGTTTTTTTTAAGGTGGGCATCAAATACACATACACGATGGCTTTTTCGAAATTTCCTGTGTAAAATGTGTTCAAAGTGGTCAGGTTCACAAGTGCAGATGTTTGCATACTACATCTCTAATGTAAATTATGGAAATCAGAATTTCCACTCCAGAGATAGGATGTGGTTGCCGTTAGGAAATATGCGCTATTTTTAGAATGATTTGCATGTGGTTTAGCCCGACCTGAATCGCATTTTTGTCGGACGCGACGTGTTTGGTCGTCTGAGTCTGGTGTTTGCTCTAATGGATGATGACATAATCATTTCTGATGTTGTGCGTGCTATCCCACAAGTACGTTAGCTTTCTAAGTTCTACACATTTCTGCGTAACCTCTGAGACGTTCTTCCACAAACTTACTAAAGTTTCAACGACATGAATTGTCCAAGGTTCAATGAATTATTATAGTTGAGTAAACCTGCTCGTATTTGCTTGCTATTTACTACGCTGATCTTTCAGTTGTCAGCTTCAAAACGCCTCTCAAAGATTTACCGCCTCATTGTGACTCCGAGGTGTTCCTAGGTGTTGGCTTGCGATGTACAATGGAGGGTTCATCCCAAGCAGGGCCTCCTAGATCCAAAAGGGAATCTGAATTTTATCTGCTGAGGTTATGAAAGTGTTTCACTTGGTAGACTGCATGTCAATTTGACCTTACCAGGCTCTTATGAGGGCGAAACAGCCGGAACGCCAGTTGTTGTGTACTGATAAATGCTATAATACCAACTTCGTGTTTGTTTATGAAGAAAAACAGCGAATTATTGATCAATGCCGAGGTTGATCGAAATTTAATGTTGGGATTTGCTGCGTGGAAAAGATCTCCTGATCGCTCAAGAAAAACGAAAGATGTAGTACACTAGTATATTCTCAGTGAGATCCTATCTTGATATGACTGGCAGATAAAGGTGGACTAGAGCGAGGACTACAACCTGTTTTTCTCAGGACTTGTGCCGAACTCGCCTGGGTTCCTCAAACAAGAAGTTCAGGCGCTATCTCCATTAGCACTAAGGATTTGCTTGAAAAGAGAAGGAAACCGAAGTTTGATTCTACTGCAGAGTATTTAACACGCCAGATAACAACTGGTATTGGTGGATGATCGTTGCGGGTGCATTTACGTCGGTATAGACAGAAAAAGTTATGGGAAGGAGCTCAAAAGCGATCCAGTCTGAAGAAGTGCCATTGGGATCTCTGCGACTATAATTATCCGCCACCCACACTGATAAACTAATATGAGACTGAGAGAAGGGCGAAACGAAGAATACGCATGGTGTGGTGGTGAACGTATTATCCCTCGGGAAGGGTAACAACGTGTTCGATCCCTACCGCAAACACCTGCTGTCCAGCGTTTTGCAAATATCTCGGCATCTTCTGAGTCAGCTCAGTGTATTGCTTCTCTCGAATTATTTCTTCATTTCTTGGTAGTGAAGCCTTTTCGTCCAGTTCAGAATGCTTTAGTTGATCGGTGGAGAAGTTCTCGATTCCACTGAGCATGCCGCATCTTGACGCTCCTTTGTTACATCTTTCCTTGTTGGCAGAATATTTTTCTCCTTTGTTGAAACCTTCCTACGTTCCACTTTGCCCATAACGGCAGATGCGATTTCCGGAGGAATTTTAGGCAAGTCAACGAGAGATGGAGACAGATCAGGTATTTGCTCAAGCTTAGGTAATCAAACCCAGTTAATTGGCTCGCCTCAGTTCTTCAACTTAATTACCCAAGTTTGAGCAAATCACTGACGTACCACCATCGCTCACTGACTTCCCTAAAATTCCTTCGGAAATCACATCTGCCGTTAAAGGCAAAGTGGAACGTAAGAAGGTGTCAACGAAGGAGAAAAATATTCTGCCAACGATAGAAGGTGTAACTAAGGAGCGTCAACATGAGGCCATGCTCAATGAAATCGAGAACTTCTCTACCGACCAACTAAAACATGATGAACCATGGAAAAGGTTTCACTACCAAGCAATGAAGGTGTATCTCAGCATCATTGTGGTAGATTTCGCGTAATACACTTCATTGAAAATTGTAATAGGCAGTAAATAAAAAAGTTAGCATTGTGATTTCGACTGCAGCCTTAGCTTAACTGGGTTCAATGCCGATTTGGGCTCTTCAGAGCGTTGACGGGTAATTGCTAATGGCACTGGTAAATAGAAAACTAGCTGATAGAAAGGCGAAACTAAGGACCCGCATGGTGTGGTGGTGAACGCGGTAGCCCCTGGTAAGAGTAATAGCGTGTTTGATCCCCTCCGCAGAGACCTACCGTCCAGAGTTTTGCAAATATCTGAGCGTCATTGTAGTTAATTTCTCACAATATCTTGCCGTAAAAATTGCAGTAGGCAGTAAATAAAAAAGTTAACCCTTAGATAAGACTATCACTAGTCACATCATGGGGTGGAATTGATAGCAGAAAAGTGCTATAGCGACCTGTTAGGCTCCACAACTCCCGTCTTAGAGCCCGAAATCTCCGATAGTGATAGACCTTCTTGGATTCTACCTTTTGAGGTATGGGTTGCAATAAGAAGTATGAGGGGAACCACTGTTTCACAAACCGATAATATCATCGCTGATTTCTTGAGAATTGGAGGCCATAAATTATACCAACTTCTGGCAACATACACAACATCTTACTTCCAGAAAAAGAAAACACCAGACCAATGGAAGATGGTTATCCTACCCTAAAAGGATGACTGGATGGATCTTCATAACTGCTAACCAATGTGCTTGTTAGGCGTACTCTACTAAGCTGTTCACGACGACTATCCTTTTGTTTATATCGAACACCATTCATAACGCGTAGCCAGTTGAGTAAACAGGACTCCGGCAGGAATTCGGTTGCTTGGAAAACATCCAAACCTTGTTGTAGGTTGTAGAAGTCTGTCGTGAGTTCCATCGACCGCTTGTCACAGCGTCGAAACGAATGCAATCCTATCAGCGTTCGTCGACAAAGAGCAAGATCTGTCCTATATACGGACACTAGAAAACTAATCAGAACTGCAGCACAAATGCATACACAGCTTTAAGAGGTTCAGCAAGACGATACAATATCGCCAAAACTGTTTACTGCCACACTGCAGTGGATATTCGATTGAAACGACAAGGGCAAACGCAGCGATGGAAAATTCCTATCAAATGTTTGTTTCGTGGACGACATTGTCACCTTTTTGAGAAGTACTAAAGAAATACAGACATTGCTCAAGAAGCTCAACGAAGCGGACAAAAGGAATGGAGTCACCTAGTTCATGAAGAAACTATTGTGCGAAGACGAACAAATCGAAATTGATGGTTTTCCGAATACAGAAACCACCTCGTACATGTGCCTTCGGCGCCCAGTGAAAGTGGAGAGCAATATGAAGGAAGAATTATAACAAAGAACGAGAGCAGCTTGGGTCGCAATCGAACCTTTTAATGAAGCCACAGACCATCTAAGCGATTCAAAAATCCTCAACCACCTTTTCGATTCAACACTCCTCCCATCGTTCTGTTGTGCAAGTGAAACATGGGCTGGTATTGAACGATGCCTTCTGAAATTTAACTGGCACTCACAACGTCTAGCCGGAGTGCACAACCCAGATTAT